GCCAATTATAAAAAAAATCAGACATACATACAAACCTAAAGAAGAAAAACGTAATGAATTCATAGTCCCAGCACTCAGAGAAAACATGCAAGAGCATTTTGATGTATTTCTTTCCAAAGACTAATTTTTAACAAACAAACAGACAAAAAAAACAAAAAACGAAGCTAAGTGGCGTCCACGTATACTTTACATGGTGATCGCACCTGATCCTCTTGCCAGCCCTCTGCGGGGACGGTGACCCTGTACCTTCCTGGACACATAAAGGATCTGAGCGTCAGGGAATGCGGGACTTTGCTCACGAGCATCAATCTGGAGGCTGTGCTAGCCGCAGGATGTGTCTCCTCCCTCAGAAAGCTGCGCCACTTCCCTTACGGCCCCCCGTGCCGTGAAAACGCAGCCTGCCAGCGTGGACAGCTACAAGCCTGGGCTCTGGGAGAATCTGCTTCTGCTTCTCCACCCTTTTATCAAAGAATTTGTGACAGTCACTTTCCTAAAACCAAGTGGCAGGGTTTCCTTTCCACTTCTCTACTGTCCCAGTGCATCGTAGCCAATAATTCAGAAAACGTTAAGTTTTTATCACAGCTCGTTTCTACGTTCTCCGTAGGGTACTCGGGAGGACTCAGAGGGGCCTTTCGACGGCTCTGTGGCCAACTATTTTCACACGTCCCTGCCTTTTGACACTCTAGGAAACCTCGCCCATTAATTACTTATGCTTTTGCTTGACTGTAGTGACTGCGTTTTTCCTCTATCTGAACCAATAAATAGCCACGTTAGAAAGAGAGAGGAAGGGCCAGCCCTCCGATTTGCTGATGCTTGGAGCCCTTGGTGATAAGCAGACGGCTCTGAGTCTTGAAAGACTAAATGACTAAAAGACTAAATGATTCTTGCAAGAGTCAGATTAAATTTTTTTAAAATATTAATAGACTTAGAGGAAAGTTTTAGATTTCACGTAAAATCGAGAAGATAGTGCAGATAGTTTTTGGGTCCTCAACATCCAGTTCCCAGTATTCACATCTTACGTTAGTTTTGTGTGGGTGTGTGTGTTTTTTTTACAATTAACGAAACAATATCGACTTAATATCATTAACTAAAGTTCATACTGTATTCAGATTTTCTTACTTTTTACCTAAGGTCTTTTTTCTCTTCCTCAGTCCCATCCACGATCCCATGTTACATTTCCTCTTCATTTATATCTCTCTAGGCTCCTCTTGGCTGTGACTGTTTTTCAGACTGCCTTTTTTTGATGACAGTCGAAACGAGTGCTGGTCAGGTGTACTGTAGGATGCACCTCTATTGGCATCTATCTCAAGATTAGACTAGGCTTATGGGTTTGGGGACGTAAGATTACAGAGGTAAAGTATTGTTTTCATCGCATCCTGTGAAGGGCACATACCAATAAAATGACTTAATGCTGTTGATGTTGACCTTGACAGTCTGGCTGAAGGAGTGTTTTTCAGGTTTTCCCGCTGTAAAATTACTCTTTTCAGATTAATTTTTGCCATAGTTCTTTTGAGCATCCTGGGCTATGGCATTTTAAGATCGCGTCCCTAATTTCCACCCAGGGAGAGATGAGATGAAAGAATGACATTGTCATTTGGTTAAGAATGTAGCTATGAATCTGAACTAAAGAAGTGTTTTTTCTGCTTATGGGAGCATGGCCGCCATGTTCCCCTGAACAAGGATCACTCGGTCGGGTCTATAAGATGTCCTTTAGCTCTAGCTGTTTGGGGCTGAGGAAAAGTGCTGTGTGAGTTTCCAGGATCTTGTCCCCAGCTACTTTTGCAGCTCATAAAGGCTGCCTCAACTTCCTCTCCCCATCCCCTGCTGGATTTTCAAAGACTATTTATCATAATTCTACTTTTGGTAGATCGATTCTCCTCTCTCATGTTCATGTAGGTGTTGAGAAAGATTCCCCTTTACAGGCAGAAGTCCAGGTATGATGTTTAAATTCCATCTCGACCAATAATCCTTTCTTTTCCTACTGGCTCATTGGCCGGCATAAGTGGATACCTACCTGCAGCCAAACCCTGGCATTTCCCAGTGATCCGTATGCAGTTGGCACTCGAATGCCGTGAGTGCAGTTTGTTTAGACCAACGCTGCGTGGCGGTCTGGGAGCTAAGAGGCTGACATCCTAGACTGATTCTCCTGCGTTAAGCTTTTTGAAAGCCTTCGACCGCATAACTTATTTGAGCTTCTTGAACTCGATGAGAATCGTGGGGGCGAGAGAAAGTGTTCCTGTCTTGTGGAGGGGAGGACCTCAGATGCACACTTTGACTGAGGCAGTAACTATAAGAGGAGTCAGGACCAGGGTCAGGCCCGGTGACTCCATGAAGCCCATTGTCCACTGTCTCAGCCCTGAGGTGGCATCAGGGTGGTCTGGACCTCACTCAGTAATCTGGGAGAAGGAGGCTTGGCTGGAGCAGGGATGGGGCAGGATTTGGCAGCCAGGCTCTGGGTGAATCACACGGGGATGTCTGGAGTCACTGGAGGGATGTCTTCATCGTTGACTTTTCCAAAATGTTAAAAGCCACTGTTGCAAAAATTCTCGCCTAAGGAACCGGGTCTGAAATTTCCCTCTTGACCTGCGGTAATCAGACTGAGGATGACGAGCTCACATGACGAGTGCTGCGGGCACACACACATCCCAGGAGAACGCAGAGCCGAGAGTTACAGAAGAAAATCGCGTTAGAGACCAAAATAGCTCTATGCTTCTTTCCACGACAAGGCCAAAGCAAACTGGCCATTTTATTAAAATGGCAAGCAGAGTATCAGGTTCCCCGACCACAGAAAGCTGGAATTCCCTCCCCCGTATTAGCTATTCAAATTTCTTATTTAGGCAACTAAGTTTTGTTGATGCCCCAATATTATGAGAAACAAAAATGTACGCGAACTGTCTGTTTTATAAGGTCATATTTTCCCCCTGAGTTTCTAGGGCTTGAATGTACACATCATTCAAGACCTGCTTTTACGGTTTGTCAACAAGATCACTCCGTAAAATGCATTCCGATATCTCACAGCTGTGTGTAATTTATTCTGTCTCTCCATGCGGCACAAATAAAATTTTTTATGTGCATCATCTAGAAGAAATACCAGTGTGTAAATACATAAGAAAAGCTCATAAGACACAGTCTTCTGACTATGGATACTGGGGGGGGTGGGGGGGTGGCAGGTATTGCGCAACCAATTAAAAAGCTGCAAGATGACTTCATCGCCCACGAACCTAGATCACAAATACCGTGCTCAGCAAACAGTGCAGTTACTCGGTTTCTTAAGAAAGTTGCACAACTTTCTAGAAGGGCTGGCACAGTCTGCCTCTAAATTCTCCTTGGGATATTTGGAAATAAAGCTTCTTAGAAGAAAGAACTCCAACCAGAAAGGACTTCTTTTGCATTAAGAGGCTGGATATGTAGGTGAAAAGGGTTGGAACGTTTTGCCTTCTGGAGGGTAAATAATTGTGTCTTTCTCTGAGCATAGTCTTTATATTTGGTTTGTGCAGCTACAGCCTGGTTATCAAGTAAGAGGCCCCTCAAAGGCCTCTGTAGCTTCCACAAAGCCAAGGGCACGGCGTCGCTGGCTCTCGGACCCCCCACCCCCACCCCGCCGGCAGAGGCATCTTCATGGTTTGACCAGGAGATGAGATGCGGAGTCCGAGGCACCGCCTTCTTCCTTCTAAGACATACAGCTTCTCAAATGAGAGCTATTAAATGCAAAGACTTTTCCCCCAATATCTGAGAGCTGGGTGCAAATCTTCCAGGCCTTTGAGCATCGTAGCTGGAGGATGCGCGGAAACCGTCCTGGCCTCCCCGCTGTGGTGGGTGGGGGCGATGGGGGACTCCAGCTTTACGCCTTCTCCTCAGCCTCGTTAACAGGCCCTTGGACGATTGGACTTGTGATTAACTAGTCAGTTTAACAGTTCACTTGTGGCAGCAGCTTCACTGACAGAATTGCTAGGAGTAGCTTATGATCGAATTGGTTTGTTTACTTAGAAGAAATTTTTAAATGCTTGCAGTCACTGTAACGGTTTTACCTGACTTTTCAAGAGATCAAAATAAGGGCTGTGATAACTTGGCACGTGGCATGGATTTCGTGGATTGAGGGGACAGTTCAGATGGCTCCTCAGTGTTTACTCCCTAATTTCTGGTATTTCAAAGCCTCCTTAATCCACTTCAGATAATGTACCGGCTCTTCTTAAGAGAAGCTTAGCTAATTGCACCGTCTGGTCCAGCTCTGCAGACGCTGCGCACCTGGGCCAGTACTTTGCTTCGGCAAATTCCAGCACGCGAATGTCACCGAGGGTCCTGAGCGAGACGCCTGGGTCCTGGCGACACGTAGGGGGTGACGCGTAGGGGGCGACGCTGACAAAGCCACCTGGTGTTCTCTAGGCGTCCGTGTGTCACCCCTTCCGGCCTCCCCATGCTCTGCCTCATTTTAAGGCAAGGGGAAGCACCCCCCGTCCCTCTGCAGACGCCCCTCCTGCAGCTCCGTGTGGGGCCGGGTGGTTCTGCCCTCCACATCTCGGCTTCCACGCTCCCCGTCCCAACAGGATCGAGGTCTCTCCTGGCCTGGCTGCTAAGAGTAGCCCCCCTCCCCACAGCACCCCACCCCACCTCTCACTACCGCCTCGTTTTTCTCATTAACTTTTTATTTCGAAATCATTTTTGATTTACGGAAGAGTTACAAGGACAGCACGGACGGTCCCCGTGGCCCTGTGGTTTCACGGTCCTGGCCGTTCTCTGACATGGTCTCATTTGTCCGCCGTCTCTCCCGACAGCAGACTACATGCAAGTCGGGGGTGGGGGCCGCAGCTTTACCTGTGTCCTCTCTGGGGCAGACAGGACGGAGAGGGCCGAGTCTTCTGGGGTGAGGCTGTGTTTAGAGAGGAGGGTCCCAGCAGTGCTGGCAGAGGGGCTGGCTCCCGGTGACATGAGGGGCTGCTGGCCTGCAGTAGAAAGAATGGGCCTTTTGCATGGAAGACGCCAGGCCTAGACCGCCCGTCACGATGAAGGCAGGTCATCGGTAGCTGTTGAGTGGGCGAGAGGATGAAGGAATGAGCGAGTGTGCGGACCGCTGGCCCAGGGCCCCATGCAGACCTGCGGTGGAGCTGGCTCTGCTGCTGCGGCGTGTCTGTCCCCCAGGCCCCCGCTTGCGGTGAGGCCACGCCCTCTCGGAGCGCACAGGAGGGCACGACGTCAAGCCACCGGGCGAGGGTCACGATCTCCAGACTGCCGGTGACTGTCCCTCTGCAGCCAGCACGAGGGCTCGTGACGTCCTCCACTCAGATGGCCCGCTCTTTCCACCTCCGGCCAGCCCTCCACCAGCGTCCACAGCTGTCACCCCCTGGAGTCGGCCCCCTCTGCTCGCATGGCCAGAACCCTCATCGTCTCTTGGATGCGGGTTCAGCCCTGAAGACTCAGCTCATCCCAGCCCTGAGGACCACTGTCTCCTGTCCTTGCCTACCTGTGCTCCCGCCCCCCACATCCCCACGTGGCCGAGGGGCCCAGCTCACTCCCTCTGGCCCTGGCCATCTTCCCAGCTCTTGCTTCATCCCTGTTTCTTTGGTTCGTAACACCTGGGAGCCCTAAATGCTTTGTGACCAGCTTGAGAATTTTCCAGAGAGGCCATGTCAGACGGTCGATACTGGAGTAGAGATTCTTTTGTAACCTGACTATAACAGCAGACTTCCACATTGAGAATGATAAAACGGTGTGTGTTGAAAAGTATTTGGGGAACTGTAAAATGTCTAGGATTAAAATTTCAATACCATTTGTGCCCAATAAATGTGAACTCCTTAGTAACTTAAAACTGTGCTATTATGACTCAGGTCTGAAAATTACGAGTCCTGGTCGAAGAAATGGGGCGGCACATGAGGGGAGCCGCCCCCACCCCTTACCTTGAGGGACATACTGTGGCCGCACCAAATAGCAGCGGCGTGACCTCATAGGAGAGTGAGCCCAGAGAAGTCGCTGTGTATGTTAAGAAAGTGATCCGCTCTGCAGAAGGGAAGGACGTTATACCTTCCCTTAGGATCCTGGATGGAAATTGGGCTAAATTGGACCTGTGTCGGTATATTAACAGGTTGGACAGACAGGACCCCAAGAAACAAGATCGTATCATCATTCATTGAATGACTTAATTCCTTTTTTCGTAAACCAGTCTAGTCCGTCTGAACTGGCAAATTAATTTTGTCTATAGACTCACTCACCAAAGGCTAGAAAATTAGCGTCCGTGAGCCGGCCGGGGAGGGCTGGTATCGTGCTTAACCCGTTCACTGGGACTCCAGCAAATGTACCTGTCTCAATGCAGCTGAAGCCCTGAGACTTTTCATAGGGAGGTGATCGATCTCAAGCAAAGCATTAAAAAGTCACCGCTTGTGCATTTGGGTCACTCGTGGAAGGACGAAATCACACACTTTGACTCTGATAATCACCCAGCACACGCTGTTAGGACTTGAAGGACGAAATCACACACTTTGACTCTGATAATCACCCAGCACACGCTGTTAGGTCTTGAAGGAAAAATTTTAGCTTTTCGTTTTCTTTGAGTTTCCAAATTTGATGGTTAGGTTGACAGAGACTTTGTCGCTTTTCACACGTATTGCGATCGAACAGATCATGGTGCTTGCCTAGCTCTACTCAACTTCCATGTATTTTCACTGAGTCGTTTATGTCATAAGCTTCTGATACCAAACTCTTCCTGACTAGAATGAAGAATGGGGCTGTTTTCTTTCTGATGCAGGGGTGACCTTGGGGAGCAGCTCAGCACCTTCTGTGCAGCAGGCCCGGACGAGGGACCAGGGAGGAGCGTATGAAGTCGTCAGCGCCTCTCTTGCGAATGGAGACCTCTGGACCCCAAAGAACAGTGTTGACTCAAAGGTCTGTTTCTTGTTTTGCTTTTTCTTGACTTTTCAGCGGCTGAAGTTTTAAAATCACATGTAACTGCACTCATGTTCTTTCATTCAAGTTTTGTCTTTATTTTAATGCTAACTTTAACCTCATATAAGTGAAATCTTTATTCTTATAAGGATGCAACACAAACCAATTTGGATGTGTCAGTTCCGATGACTGATGTCATTTGCATCTGTTGAAAGGTATTTTTCAAACACATACCAGGGATTACATGTCTAGATACACGCTTTTGTGGTTTTCTTCTTTTCCTCAAATGTTGGGTATTTTTCTGTATTAATGGCTAGTTTATCAATATTTTGGTTTTATCAGTTGATTATTGGGAGAAACATTTTAATGAAACTTTTTTAAAAAAAGCTTTAATGCGTTATAATACAGTTTTACACTTTGTTTACTTTGACACATTTTGATCTGATGTAAAAGAAAAATATGAAATAATCAAAATATTAATGATTAAATTAAATATTTCGATGAGTTTTATCTGCCAAATCTATATGAATTTCTTAAATTTCAGAATTCGTTGGAACAGTTGGAAAGTGATAAAATCTATAGAAATATGAGCTCTTTGGAGAGCTCATACAGATGGCTTTGTCCTTGTGTTATGTGGAACTATTTTTAGGTTATTTTTTCATAATAGAAAACAGATTTTTTTTTTTAAGAGTAGTTGAGACTGTGAAAATCCTCTGTAGCTTTCTGGAAGAGCCACTGAGGGGACCTTTATGTGAGTAGCAATAATACGATTTGCATCATTAATTGATTTTCTAGGGATGCTCTCAGTTGAAAGTGAGCATTCCAAAAAGTCCGGGGTCTGGTGAGAGGATGTAAATGCCAGATCCGCACTTTTGGGATATTTCTGTTTCACAGAGACTGTTGCGAATTGAATACGCAAAGTACAAGTCGATCGCTGTGGCTCTGACATTTCCTAGAAGAAAAACTTAAGACATTAAAGACCATTTCATTGTGCTGTTAATCAGCCAGATGAGATAGGATTTGTTAGATGCAGAAAAAGAGCAATAAAGTATTTTATAAAGAAAGCATGCCTAAAAAATATCTATGGGCACTAATTAATAATACAAAAATATGGAAGAACCTAGAGTTTCTTGGGTGGCAGAGCTGTCACAGGAGCTTTTCTGGAGATAGGCTTGCCAGAGTTAGCAGATAAACGTACAGAAGGCCCCGTTACACTTGACTTCGGATAAACGATGCTTTTGTGTGTGTGTGTGTGTGTGTGTGTGTGTGTGTGTGTGTGTAAGTCTCATGCAATATTCGGGGATGTGCTTACACCAAAAGATTCTTCATTGTTTATCTGAAATCCAGATTTCTCTGGTGTCCTATATTTGATCTGCAACCTTACCTGGGGGGCAGTCAGGGTGACAATCTGGTGTGGCTTGTCGTCGCCATGGGAATGGACCAGTTCAGAGTGGCTCTGGTTCCTGACCCCCAGCTTCATTATTCCTGCTAACCAACCACCTGGCAGCCATCACCAGGCGAGTCGGGGGAGGAAGCAGCTCGTCTGCCGCTGGCCGAATCACAGTCTGATGACTGCGGGCCACCAGCACCATCTTGGTAGAAACCTAGGAAAAACCACGACTATTTGATAGCTGTCCCAACTCCTCAGGGATTCCACCTCCAGGATTAGAACCACACAAGTAGTAGGCCCATCCTAGTGCACTAAAGTAACTCCAGGTTGCTGGCATTGTTTAGGGGGAATAGGGAGCCAGGCAATTTGGGGAATGGCATTTTGTTTCGATGCCAGGGGCTCATCTCGACATACGGCTCACAGGATCAGCATTATGACACTCTACCTGCGTGTGTACCTGCGTGTGACCTCTGAGACCCCGTGTGGAACGGGTGCACGCACATGTCCGTTAACACATGTGCACGTGTGTGCCGTAATTCTCTTCCGGGTGGGGGTTTGTACCTGTTGTGGGAATAGGGATTCTGGCTAATGATGTGTATGTGTATGTCTTTCTTGTAAGCAAGTAGAACAGTAAACATTTTAATTTTAAACTGCATTAACAGAGTGTATCTTCCAGTATATGAAACGTACATTAAGGAATATTTTCGAGGCACAACTGTGCCTCCTGTACCTTAGACATTTAGATTCGCGTTCTTGCTTTTCTGCTCTCCTGTTAGGTTCCTTGCTTCCCTGTTGCTTTCTATTCAGCTCTTTTTTAATTGAGCACCTACTATGTGCCAGGTACTAGGCACACAGTTAACGAAGAAGGCACGCAAGCTTTCTGCCTCCACGAACTCACATTCTAATGAGGGTAACGTCGATAAAACAAATTCAGATTGTGATAAGTGTTAAGAAAGAAACAGCATATCATTAATGGGACCCACAGAAGAGATCGATTTCGATAGGTACCTGGCCAGGGAAGACTTTTCTATTAACGCCGTGAAACCTTTTCAGTAAGCTTGAAAGAGCCAGACAGGAGGAGAGCAAGTGTGTGAAAGGCTGGTGTGCAGAGCACAGGGAGTCTGGTGTGTCTGCCGTGGTGGGAAACCAGATGGACGGTCTCGGGATGACACGGAGCATCGAGGGCTGAACCCGAGGCGAGGCTGACTGGGTCCCATGTGACCTCACTGTCGAAACAGTAGCCTGTAGAAAACAGACATTCCTCCCGAGACGAGACTCTGCAACCGTCTTTCTCTGATAGGTCTGCATTCTGATTTTGTGACTCACCAAACCGCAACTTGAATTCTTGTGCTCGTTCTCCTCAGAGGTAACACGTGCAGTGTTCATGGTAATGAGAGGCATTTCTTGTAATATGTACAGAAATGCTGCCCTCGCATTAAACATCGTTTCTCTATGGATGGCCATCAGAAGTCCAGGAAACCAGACCTGGAAGTGTGAACAGGCGGTTTCTAGTTGCGAATGCCACAAGACCCTGGGGACTTAGGCGGGACTGTAGAGAAGCGGACCTAAAATTCCAAGTCAGGTCCCCTCTGACTTTCCTCCAGAATTGTTTTTCTAAAACAAAGCTCTGACCCACCCCGGTCCTGCTCGAAGCCTTCAGAGGTGGACCTCACGTCCACAGTACGTGGGAAAACTGGGCCGGGCATGAAAAGCGCATCTCCGTGTGGTCCTGACTCGCCACGAACACCCAACCCCCAAGACCCAGTGTCCTGATCTACACCCCCTCCCTCTCTCAACCAGCACCCCACCAGGCCGGTGTTCACGGCCGCCCCTGTGACCCCAGCCTGAACCCAAGACTTGCCCCGCAGTGCTTCGTTTCAAAGCACCCATGCCTGCAAGGCTGGCCCAAGTCCCCAGGGAGTTGATCATTTACTCAGAAATCCCGATTAAATGCCTGTCGTGTGCTGAGCACTGTTCTTGGTGCTGGCGCCCGTATGGAGCTTGCCCGACTACATGGAGGGACATGTAAACAAATAATTTGATGACAGGTGTCTGAGGGTAAATACCGAGGCCGGAGGTCGGTGCCCACGGACCAGGACGGGTCAGGAGAGGGCTCCCTGCGGAGATCACGGCGAGCAGTGACGCGAAGGCACTGACCGGTGTGCCAGCTGTGCCGCCATGTGGGGAGGAGCACCCAGGCAGCAGGCATGGGGCTGGGATGGAGGGACAGAAGGCGGGAGTTCACAGTGGCGAGTGAGGCCCGTGAGGTTGGCCGGTGTGAGTCGCCGCTGCGGGGCTTTGAGCCGGGGGGCAACGTCGAGTTTTGACAGAACCCCGACAGCTGGGCAGAGACCCCACATGGGGCCCTGAGGGGAAACGAGGCGAGCAGCAAGGAGCCGGGGGCGACCGGGGAAGCGAGGGCGGCCGCCCACAGCCTGAACACGGACTCGGGTGGGAGGGAGCGCCCCTCGGGCTGGCCCGCGGGGAGAGACGTTTTGCACCTGCGAACCAGGCGCGTGGTGGCGCCATCATAAACAGCCCCGAACGGGAGGACCCTCTCCTTAATTTGTTTTCCGCTACGTCATTGACTCACCGTGTACAGTGGTTTCTAGCCACCTGCGTTCTAGAAGCACCTGGAGACTCACATAAGTCAGTGTCCAGCGTCCAGTCTTTGAGAGTTCGATTTAGCTGGTTTGGGGGGAGGCCCGGGCATCTTCCTTTCTATGACATGCTCTCGGGAGCACATGGGTTAGAACCATGATGCTGGTGGAGAGAGACGCTTCGGCCACCACGGGAGAGCTGGTCAACCTGGCTCAGCTGATTTAGGCCAAAATATTTGCAATCTCTGTCTCTGTCTCTGTCTCTGTCTGTCTGTCTCCCATGATGCTGGTGGAGAGTGACGCTTCGGCCACCACGGGAGAGCCGGTCGACCTGGCTCAGCTGATTTGGGCAAAATATTTGCGATCTCTGTCTCTGTCTCTGTCTGTCTGTCTCTCTGAAATATGTGCTAGGATATTATTATGTCCTTTACAAATGAAGAAATAAGCCATCATCGCCACTGAGAATTTTGTTGAAAGGGGCGTGGGGCGGGGCGGCCTGGGACCTGTGTGCCCCGTTTGTTTGCTTGTGGTTGGTCTGGTCTATCACAGGAGCATCAGTTTATCTGCTTTTCCTCCTACTTAGGGTCATTGTAAGAATGAGATGAAACCATGATGTAAAAATCCGGTGGGAACTAGAAGCTACTACATAAATGTAAGGTGATATCGAAAGGTTAAGTGTCTTTAGGGACCAATATCCAATTTACGTCTTCAAAAGAAAATCAACCCTGGACCCAGGGAAGACACGTGCAGGTGACGGATCGTGACCTCCACTGAGCCCAGCCTTGGACCGCGTCAGGAAATGTTCCATTTCCCGTTTCCCGCTTCCCGTACGAGAATGAAATTGCGGGCGCGGGACGTGAAATGGAAAATGAAAAGGGCAAACGGATTAGGACGGGAGACCCTGGCTTCCCCCAGCCTCTGGCGGGTCTCGGATGCCGAGGATCGGATACCGGACGGGCGCTGATGAAAACGGCTGAGGCGGATTCGGCTCCATGCGCTCGTTCGCTCTG